TGGCTTGATCATGAACCCCCAACTGCACAAGGTTTGGTATGTCAAAGCGGAGGGCAAGATATATTTTTTCCTATGGTTGATCTTGCATAACAGAGTATGGAAAGCCGACCGCCTAGCCGTGCGCGGCTGGCCTCATGATGATCTTTGTTGCCTTTGCGATCAGGAGGTGGAATCAATTAATCACCTTCTGCTAAAGTGCCCTTTCGCCAAGGAAGTGTGGTTCTCCTTCTCTTCCTCGCACCCCTCGAGCTCGACTACTGCCTTGTGCTCTACCTCTATTTCTGGATGGTGGAGGAAGATCTCAAGGAACATCAAGAACAAGGAAGAGAAAGCAAAAAAACACAATGGTTGTATATACGGTTTGGCATCTCTAGAAGGAGAGGAACAGTAGGATTTTTTAGGGGAAGAAGGCCACTGTGGACACAGTGGTCTCTCTTATCCATGACGACCTACTTTTTGTAGGTCCTATCTTTCACGAGTAGTCCCCTCTTTTTTGGATTCTTCTCTTATCTGTAACTGGACTTCCAGTGAATGTACAATTATTCCCCCTGACTTTAACGAAAAAGGTAGAGCTCCTGCCGTTGGCCCATAAAAAACGCTACCATGCCTCAATGACGTGAACTACCACTTTGTGAATATTGACTGCAATTTTGTGCTAAATAGTCTAACAAAACATCTTATAATTTGAGACAGAGGAAGTACGTACTAACCATATTTTGGCAAATTGAGAAAGTGAAAATTTATCAAGACATTGTAAGTCGGTAGGAGATTGCAAAGCTAAAACAATTTATATAATTAGTGCTCAGTTGTGTATTGAAATTTTCCTTTATCGTGTGTAAACCGTAATTAATAATACTCACGTGCAAAGCACGTGCCTTCAACTAGGGCAGCATGTTTAGTCATGTTGGGCAACATGTTTCCGATGACTCCATAGTCCCAAACATGTCAGCAGTCGGGTGCTGCCATGGTTAACGAGGACGACGATCTGCATGCCGCCGGTGCTAAAGTGGAAAATTCATATGCATCTGTGGAATGATACATGGTTAAAAAGATGTTCCTAGTCTTGCCTCTAAGGCTAGCTCAAGTGTTGTTGCTGATCATGTTTTCCTGATTTTGGAATATCGTTAAGTGTAATGCTAGTTTTAAAACAACATTGAGAGTATACTTTGAGATAATATCATCAGAAATCAACTGCTATACTTTGAGATAATATCGTCTCAAACTTATTTGTTATACTTTGAGATAATATCATCGGAAATCAACTGCTATAACATGGAGTGTTAACATGTGTTTCTAGTTCCTTAGACCATGAGAGTGTCGTAGTCACTTCCTACCGTACGGTGGACTTTGGGGTTGTTAAAACGTCATATGTAACAAGGTGGACATAACGACAACTTATAGGTTCATTGGAAAGTTTGACAAGGGACTAGATAGCTCGAGAGTGGGATTTGCTCCTACGACGATGGAGAGATATTTTTAGGACCCTCTCCATGTGACGACATCCATCATTGTCTGGCCAAACATAGATGACTATGTCACATGGATCTTGGAACACTTCAACAAGAAAGAAGAAAACCGGTAACGAGCATAACTGTATAGTGAGTATGTGGATGATTCAAGAGGATACCGATGCATCTTGAGTTTTGTAAAGTGTCCCGAAGCAAAGGAACGTCACCTAATAACCAAAGGTCCACTTGGATGTCATTCGTGTAATCATAGGGATCGATATGGATGTTCATGGTTCCTCTATCGGTCATTGAACGAAGGAGTTTTGTTCATGTCTATGATTTACCGAATCTACGGGGTCACAAGTTTAAGGTAACCATAGTCTGCTGAGTGTTAGTAGGACGGGAGTATTGAGAATTTATTCTTGTAATTGTTTCATTAATATTTAGAATAATTTTGAGAGGAACCGGAAGCGTTTCGAGGTCATCGGAAGGGCTTTGGAGTTTATCGGTAATATCGGGTATTACTGATAAATAATATATAAATGAAAAATATTTTCGAAGGTGTTAAAATTGAGAAACAGTATAACGGGGCTAGCTACGAGCCTCCACAGCGATTTCACTGTCTCAGCCATCGGATCATCAAACGTACGGTGTAGATTAAAGTCGGGCGTCCCTGCTCGCCCGCGCCGTCTCGCGGGCCGCTGCTCTAGGGAACGACCTCCTCTTCCTGTCAGTAATTGGGCCATTAAGGCCCACTTATTCCCGCTCGGACGCTGACAGCCCAGATCACCCCCGAACGAACAGTTCCTCCGTGCCGCCGTCCTTCCTTCTCTCCATGTGGCGGCGTTCCTCCCTCCTCGATACACCATAGATCCGCCGGTA